CTTAATTTAGTTAAATTTTTTGAATGGAATTTATAATCATGCACTTTACGATCCAAAATATCTCATAAATACTTAATTGAATTGACTTTATGCAGGCCAAGAAAGAGAACCTATTAAATTTTTCTCTTTTTATTCAGTTACAGATTTTGCTTTGTATATAAATATATTGCTATCTTGGAAAGTGTAAGAAATATTATAATCAAAACTTTCTATAAAGTTTAGCAAATGCTTCTTTAACAACTTTTTGTATATATTTGCTATGATTATTCCATCTACAACTATTAAAATGCCTAGTCTTTCTTTTGTAAAACATCTCTAAATCATTATATCCTTTTTCTTCACTTTTTATTTTAGAAATATACAATTCATATCATATTGTTCATGTGTTATACTTAATGTCTACTATTATTTTTGAATAAAAGAAAACATGATTTGTCACTCCAGATAACATTATTCCATTCTTCATTTTATTATCTTCTTTCTTTACACTATCTTAATCGCTTCTTTCTATTATCTTCTGAAATTAATAGTTTTCTCCTACTGACATGACCAAAATAGCCATGTTCATGAAGAATATGTCTTGCAGTTTTCATACTAATCTCATTTAGTCCAAGATAATTGAATTTCTCTATTGTCTTCTTTACTGAATTTTTTCTATTTGCCACTGCAGTACGAATGAACTGACATCTATCATTTGCCTTTAAAAAGGGCAATCTTCCAGGATGAGAGTCTGGAGATACCATTTGATCTCTGTATATTTTCCTCACTACATCATCACAAGTTAACCTGGATGTTTTAAGTATTCTGGAAATGTCTGTAATGGTGTGTTTCCCCTTATAAAGACTAATAATCATGCCTCACTCAAACATAGATATTCGTAAGATTTTGTCATTTTACAAGATGTCTAAGTATGTAATGAAAAAAAGACTTTAATTCAGAATAAACTAGGAATATTCAGCTTTTAAACAAAAAAGTTTAATCAATTTAATTTTGTTTGTCGTAAAGAAATTTAAATTTGAAATTGACCAATGTGGCAGAAATTAATTTGATTGACATCGTATCAGATACTTTTGGCCAGGGTGTGTACCTTAATTAAAATAAATAACTTTGCGTGTAAATAACAATGAGGTGATGGTGATATGTTTTCGGTAGACATATCTTTTTTATCTAGCGTTGTTTGCCCTTACAATGCATAAAATGAAATAACAATCTAAAAATTATTATGAAAAACTACTAAAAATTAGAAAGTAGATTACAATTTTTTCTTGTTATGTCGTTATGATAGTAACATCTACATTCAAAACTGAGGAAATCTTTGCAGAAGTTCCTACTGCAAGTCAATCGGAAGCAGTTATTTACATGATATTCTATTAGCTAAATTGTTTTAGTATATTAATGACATGTACAGGAAAAAAATCGCTTCATATCAAGCAATTTTTTTATTGTAAATATGCAGTACTCAATAAATGCTGGTATTTAGTTAATCCCGAAAAGCCATTTATTATGTTAAAATACATAACAAACCTCATTGATCTAATAGTATAATTACTGCTCTGCAAATTTTTACAAATTTTCGTGTAATATGATGGCTGCCAGCAGTTGCATTAGATCCTTTTACGGTACAAAATCTTAGCCTTTTTTCACATCACTATTTAGCTAATAATATACATTAATATAATTCATTTAACAATCTTTCTTCAAATATGTAGTATGCATAGTGGTTGGTGAAAAATTCTTAGTTTTACAATGTGAAAATCTTTATTAATTATAGGCTCAGCATAAGACTTTTTTATGGATGACAAATCTGATACAAACACAAATTAGGCTTTTCTATTACATTATATGGAACTTCATTAGATTAGAATAATCATTTTTTTGGTAAGTTTGGGCTCTTAAAGTTCTCTTTTCGAGAAAGCATTATAATTTATATCAAACTGACGTATTTTAGTTTTTTTATTTTAATCTAACAAGACTTAAGATATTGAGCAATTTGAATAAGTGAGCATCCGGATGAATTTTGCTATAATTAGGACAGCCAGGATTATGCGACGAAATTGGAGTCGACGATTTTAGAATTTTTCCTATCAAAAATTTAGAATCGCGTGCTGAGACTCACCTTAAGCGTCGCAAAGTGCATGTATATATGCATCGCTGGGTTTTGTATCTAAATTTATTTAAGGTTAATAAAACACCAGTTGTTACGGCTTGTCATTTTTTCGTGAAAACGATTGGATCTCAAAATGATTATTTCTCAACTTCATGGTTGAATAGTAAAACTTTTTCGTGTGTAAAATACTAAAAACTAGCATCTCTAGGACATTTGACTTATTTACCCGTTTATGTTATCACTATAGCGAAATCGCGCTGTTTATTATGAATATTAAAGCAAGTTGAAATGATATAAAAATGAAGTTTTTATTTTTTATAGGAAAGAATAATTTAACAAAGTTAGTCACAATTTTACTAATTTTATATTACATGTACATGTACAATTAAT